ATCTCTAAGGTCTCCCAATTTATAATACAAAGGGAAGCCATACTACTTGTTCTAGTCTTAATTATAAAATCTTCCTGAACTAGACAAAAGGCTGTTACTTAATGAATGAATGGTGTATGTACAAGCAAATGAAGCCTTCTTATTTTGTTTGAATGAATTAACCTTGTGGCTAATCCAGAATTTAAAAGAACAAGTTCTCACCATTATATTCTATACTACCAAAAATAATTTCAAATTCAATAGTGGTACTAATAATTTTCCAGGTTCCTCTGAACTGCTATCTACAATAGTGCAAAATAAGCGGTAATATAAAATAAGCACTTTTACTTTTCAACTTCTTACAGCTACACCACAGCTGGCTGTCCTAAAACTATTAAAAAGAATCAGTCTAAGCATAAGCAACCCTTTAATGAATCTGCTACACTTTTACTCCAGAATTTCTCTATAAGGACATAGTAGAATATGAAAAACAAACTTACAGTTAATTCCCCACCTTGTGTGATTTGCAAAAACTATTATTATTCAGGTTTCCTGTATGTAGAGCCCAGGTAGTTCTAGACAACGATTACTTCCCCTAAGAGAAACCCAGTATGAAGATCAAAACTGTTCCCCCAAATCTGGCAAGTGTTAGGTACCTAGAACAAACAAAAACATTAACTGTCCCCATTTGTTGTAAGTTCTTATGCCCTTAAATATATCAAAAATAGCGCTAAAACTTAATCTCTTACTAATGTCAGCTACTTTGTGGGTTCCACCTAACAGTAACCTCCACATCATGCCCTGTCCAAGCCACACAGGTAGAGCGCTGGTAAACGCATCTGGAACGATGGAGTGGACATCACAATCAGAGATTCTTTATCATGACTGGCATGCTTCTATAGACTAGCACCTGAAGCCATTTCCAGATAACACTCTAAAGACAAATCACTTTCAAAACGTCTTAAACTCTGATGGCTAAGCCAATTAAGGCAAACTGAAGGACAGGCCAGCACTTTGATTCAAATATATCCCTTCCAATCCAACCAACTTCTCAAGTCATGTGGACAAAACCCTAGACAGTACAGATGATGAGGAATGGCTTTTCAGAGATAAGAACAGAAGGTTCATCTGACAGCAAATAATCCTACATAGTGGAACATAAGCTCAGGAGTGAGACACATGGTAACAGCAAGGAAAGAAGAACAGGAACTTCTGGGGGGCAGCATTTTTTTGGTCCAAATCCATAGTTTCCAGGAGTTTGGCAACTACAACTTCCTTCCTTCCTTGAAAGTTTTGTAGCCTTTGCTGCCACTGTGGGTACCCCCAAAACAAAAAAGATGTTAAATGACATAGCTTGAACACTGCAGGAAAGCTTAAAAACTGGAATAAACGTTTCCTCTATCAACAATTTATAAATACAGAAAGTTCCTTATTGTTACCTACCTTAAAAAGAACCAACTTCCCTTCAAATCTTATAAAAAGGTCTAGTCAAAATGTAAATTGTACATAAAACTGGTATGGCGTAACTTCTATTTTTGTGAACAATGATGAAAGCACATTTAAAATATGCATTAAGAATACTAAAAAGAACCTGATTCTACTGATAGGACTCAATCTGGAAGAGGCTTACACAACTATAAAGGATCTTGTTAGTTCACTTACCACTCCTTTGCAATGAAAACAAAACATCCTCTAACGTATTTTTATACATTTTACTCATCAATTTTATAAAACAGAATCTGAAATGACTACTTCAGACCTCTGGTTAAACTATAATTTCCCTTAAATTATACTAACGATACCAAATGGTAATGTAAAATACAGCATTTGTGTGTACATACGTACACACATAAACAGTATTTTTTTCTTTATGGAACACTACACATTTACCACTTCTAACCAGCAATCCATGCAGACTACAGTTAAGCAAAAGATTACTAACCTGGATGAAAAATTTTAAATGCCTATAAGTACTCATTTACCAATGAGAAATACTGTACCAGTGAGGCATATCTCTATCTTAATAAAGGCTCAAGGAACTGTGACTAAATTCTATGGTTTTTAAAAACTAGCAGATATTAACTATTGAATATTGAACACTAGTCATAAATTTCATTATAAGGATTTTAGAACACTTAGAGGACAACAAATTAGAGATAGAAAGGATCCAAATTAGCTCATAACCATAATGCTACTTATAAAAATCAGTTTCAGTACTATCGCATATTATACTCTCCAACTCAAGGAATAATGAAATTTTCTCCCAACAATACAACATCCAGAAGCAGCAATCCTGGTCTTTCAAACTATATTGATGTATCCCAAGTCCTTAGAACAGTGCCCGAAACACAGCACTCAGCATCTCTTGAATGCATGAAAAAATGGGAGAACAGGCAGGAACAAGCAAAGCTATAGATCAGAGAGTTGACGCTGCACAGGTTAATCAGAATTTTGAATGAGTTGATGTCAAATGTGCGCTAGCCCACATTTCAGCAATAATCTGAGGTAACGGCACACTTTCCTAGAAAACCTGTATATTACTTAAAATACTAAATAATTCTAAACTCTGCTAAAAAATGGTCAGCACTGCTTTAGTAGGAAAACATTACTCACAAATTCATCAACACAGTTCACTGTTCAATCCCATGCTTTTTGGTCAACATTTCTCACTTTGTAGTTTCTCACATTTACTTAGAAAAAAACTTCAAAGATTCAAAAATTCCTTCAAAATACTTAATTCCCCTGAGTATATCCCACATATATATAGAGAGAGAGAGAGCAGTCTCCACACACTGACATTAGTACATATTTTTATTACAATTTCTTTTAAATTTTAAGAATTTAGAGAGGTCAAGTTCTTTGGGTGAGTTTCTTACTTAACTACAATTATATTAATAAAAATCTTTCTCAGCTGAAAAATTCCACTTTAGAAAACTCATGCTTTAAAAAGTAAGTACAAACCCCTTTTCCTCCTCATAGGATGTCTATGATTCTAAGGAAGGAAACCCCAAGAGCTTTCTCTAGTTTTACTATTTTAAAATCTTCTGTTCAATTGTTAGTTTGTCTATCTTGATATATGTTACTGTAGCGATATGAGCAAGTATGTCCATTTCTCGGTTACAACAGAACATTTTAAGTGCTTGCCATTGACTACCTGAATCAGATGGAGCATCCAATGTTATTACCCTATATACTGAACACCGCAATCGGACGACTCAACGTAAGGCTAGAAGGAGAAAGTTTCTGAACAGAGTATGTTTGCTGTCTGTCACTAAACCCTACAGAGTAAAGCAACCCAGGGTAGTGACTCCTCATTCTTTTGGGCTTCCAGGGCTAAGAAATGGAGTATTGTCCAATTTGCTCCTGCTTGCTTCTCCCGACCCTCCTACGGGGAGAGGAGGCAATTCCTGCACAAGAGTTTGTAAAGTGCTTTGGAAGCTTGTGGGCAAAAGACGCTTTAAATACACCTGAGGTTATTAGTGTATTACTACTGAGCATTACGTGGAACCACTGTCCCTGCGTCGGGGGTAGACTGATAGCATAACGCCTCCTGAGGACTGGGGGAGAGAGAAAAAGGACAGTCCCCTTCATCACCGTAAAGGTTCGGGTGGCCGTCTTTCAGGGTGGGTTATTTTGTAAATCCACACGTGAAAAGTTACACGCAGGCCCCATACAAGGAAACTTCAACTGTCCCCGTCCACGCAGGTCTGAGAGTCCCGGGAACCGAAAGGGGAGAAGAGGACTAGAGGTTAGGGCTACACCCCAGTAACGTGGGGAAGGTGCAGGGACCGGCAAAGGGGTCCCAGGCACAACTGACGCCCGCGGGGCGGCTGAAACAGTTCCGGGCGGGGGCGCGGCGCCGGGCACGGGGAACGGCCAAGCCCCGCGCCGCCCCGTTGCCGGGAAGGCTCGCGCCCCGCGGCCGGCGGCTTGGGGGAGGGGAGACAGGGCCTGCGGCCTGTTAGGGGAGTTCAGCCCGGGCCTCGCGTGCGGCTCTCAGCCGGGCCCCCGGCCCCGGGATCCCGGGTGCCAAGTGGAGACTCACCGGAAAGGCCCGGATCCGCATTTTGGTGTCCTTCCGGCTGCCCGTGCCTTTGCTCAGATTCGACATGGTGCCCGCACCCTCCCGGCCGCGGCTGTGGGTCGCTCTCCGAGGCGCCGGTGTCACATTTAAGGCGGGCGGGCAGGCGAGGGGCAACGCTGGGGGCGGCGGCGCGGCCCCTGGGCTAGGCTGGGGAGCTGGCCGGCCCCTGGGCGGCCGCGGTGGTGGCGGCAGCTGAAGCTTCGGCGTCTGAGGCTCGGTTGGGGGTACTGCGCTGGCGCGGCTGCTCCGCGGGGTCCCCCTCACGTCCGACTCAGCTCCTTTTATCGCGCTTCTCCGCGATGGCGGCGGCGGCGGCGACGGACAAACATCTCACTGCGCAAGCCGAACGTCCTCCTCCTCCTTCTCCTCCTCCGCCTCAGCGAGACGAGATCCGGCCCAGAGGGTGGAGGGGGTGGAGGGAGGGAGGAGAGCCGGAGAGCGGAGAGACTGGGGGGGAGGGAGGTGGGAGGACGGGAGGAGGCAGCGGACGGCCGCCGCGTTCGGAAAAGGGACGTTCAAATCTCGCGAGAAGAGGACTAGCGCGCTACCCCAGAGGAGGCGGGGCGAAGGCCGGGAGCTGGGGCGGGAGGGGGGCGTGGGGAGTTGGGAAAGTGGGAGGGATCAGAGGGGCGGGGAAGTGGAAAAGGGGCGGGGCTGAGGGCGGGAGGAGTAAATCGCCTCTTTGAAAGGGGAGCACGGCGAAGAGGGGGTACTGGGCAGAGGTAATTGCTGATTGGTGGAGCGCGGAGCGGGTTTTGGTCACGTGGACTCAGTGGGCGGGTAAAGTTTGGGGAGCCCCGGACGGATTGTAGTGGGCCGGGTCCCGCTGAGCTGGGCCTGGGCGGGGGCTGGGGTTGGGGGTGGGATTGGGGCGGGGATTGGGCGGGTGGATAGTCTCTGGAGGAGCGTAGGGTGCAAGGTAGGTAACTACGTCCTAGAACAGGTTCCTATGTTTTTCTAGGGCATGAGGACTAGGGATGAATATTGAGCAGAAGCCATCAAGTTGAAAAGAAGAGTTTGCAGGAGCCACCTGCAGTTTCACATTAGGGTCCTGTATGCTTAACAAGGTATTCAGATTGGATGTGCATACCCCAACTCTAGGACTGAGGGGCGGAGACATTAATCCGCGAAATTTCCTTAAACTGCAGAAGCTCCAGGGCCTCTTCAATCACTGATACTCTCTGAGGGGCCCAGGACTTTTTAGTTTTAAAATTTCTTTTCCTTATCATTGAAATAAAATGACAACTCCCTTAATGTAGTGCAGTGTTTTGGTAAATGGTGTTAAACGGAAGGTATGATAGGAAACCTAACAATCAAGAGTATTGTTAACCACTACCAAGAGTATTTTGAAAGACAGAATTATTGTCTTTGATTCAATTTACTGCAAATTTGGAAGTTTTTTCCATTGTAGTCAAAACACCTAGTTTGATTCATCAGTGATGAATTTTACTTTCTAATTTGCTTCTTTGCCCCAATGATGTTATATTTGCAGGTCTGACACTGCAGAGAAATATATGAGTTCCCACTAAAGTTTGTGATCTCATTTTAAGTAAGAAGCTACTTTGGGATGGGTATCTACATTTGGAAGTTGGGGTTTTATATGTGTGTGTGTGTGTGTGTGTGTGTGTGTGCCATATATATTTTAATAGGTAAACCGAAATATACTTTTCTATATGTTTACTTGTTGAATTTGCCCTAAATTAACTTAATCTTAATGACTGTATTTGATTGTATGCTTCATCTCCTACTTGGTTGAAATGCCCCATTTGAAAATATATTTTCTTGTTTTGTTTTTCAGTATTTGTTAATCAAAACATGAGCTTAAGAAATGAGGATGTTGCTTGAAGATTATAATGTCTGTGTAAACACTGAAGCTAAAAATAGGTCATCACGAACTGGGTTGATAAGGTAAGATTGGGAGGGACTCCAATTTAAATATAAGATAATATGAGTCTTGGATAGGAGTTTACAATCTGTATGGTGATTGAACCTTCATTTGTATGGTCATTAGAATACAAGAACCAATGTTTTTTTAATTGATTGTAATGTCATATGGCCCAGTTTCTTAATATAAGAATGTACAAGTATGTTCTGGAGCCATGGGTTTGATTCCTAGCTCTATCAGCTTACTAGCTAGCTATATTTTGTGCCTTCTGGGGCAAAGACTTGATTTTTGTGCTTGGCACTTCTCACCTGTAAAATAAGGATAATAATACTTTCTTCTTGCGCTGCCATGAAATTTAAATGAATGAATATATTTCAAAAAGCCTGAGAACAGTGCTCAACATAGAGGAGCCAAGCAACACCTGTTGGCTATTATTAGCATACATAATTTTGGCCAAGTTTATACTCTCTTCCTTTATTCAATATATATGTTTCTAAAAAGAAATATTTCTATGCTTTTAGAAAAATGAATTTTATTTTAAAATGGAGCCAGTCTCCAACACTTGGATTTCACGGACCAATAAAATACTTTCAAAAACCTGGAGAACAAATATAGATTCCCCAACTTTATGTTGGCAAATAAGGGCATTAAAAAGGAATAACTAGCATAAACTAGGTCCAATATGGTTTGTTTGTTTTTTAGTATTTTAACCACATAAATGGGGAAAGGTTAATTTTTGAATAGAGGACGGTATCTTAAGTTGATTAATTTAGCCTTATGAAGTACAATCCACTGAGCTGATATTTCTTATTTCACTGCGAACCTGAGAAGCTGTCACGGGCCCACATTTAGTAATCCTGTACAGTAAGGAATAGTTCCATGTAACTGTGATGCTATAATCACCCTTCAGTTTATTTGTTTTGTGAACACATATTTTTCATATGTTGATTTTGTTTAAGCAAACTTTGACTGCATTTAAAAGAATCACTCTCAGCTATGTCTTCTATTAGGCTTTTAATCACAAAGACCCAGAAAAAGTCTTTAAAATGAATTCATCTGCCACTGCCATCAAGAAATTTACTGCTCATTTGTTTGTCCAGTTATCTCTTCATTTATTCAAGAAATATGTATTCAATGGCTGCTATATATCAGGCACTAAGGAGAATAAGACAGCTGAGACCTTCCATCACAGACTCCATAGCTCTTTCCCACATCTCAAATTTGGAAACCACAGACCCACGTTGGATTTGGCAACAACTGCTCATACACTCCAGTCTAGAAATCAGACACTTTTTTCTTCCTAAGAAACAAGCATCCTCCAAATGTATGTGCAATACTCTCTAAAGCAGCAGCAGACTGTTCTATACTCAATGATATCCTGGACTTGCAACTAGCAAATTAACTTTCAGGAGATTAATTTTTTCTGTCAACTGCCACCTGATATAGCAGAGAAAGCAGTGTTGGAATTGGAACTCACTGGATGTTGCATGCCTGTGGGCTGGTATTCCCACTTTTGCTGACGGTGTCCTGACACAGGAAAACAGTGGCCCCACTTCCATTTATTCACGGGGCGCACATGCTGTCAAAGCTGGAAAGCTGAGTGGGCCAGCCCCTGTTCTACATCTCAGTCTAGAATCGGCAAGTATGCATTGTGAGAAGCCAGTGATAGGGGATAGCCTCTTCTTGGCCATGAGTTTCTAGGCATCCAGGATACTAAGCCACTTTAATCACTGTATCAGACCTGCTGATTTGGCTGTGCTAATATTGGTTATTAAAAGAGCTGAGGGCCTACCAATTCACTTAGAAAAACGTGTTCAAAGGTTTTGAATAGAAAAAGACTGGGTTCGGGAAAGATGTATGTTTTTCAAATTGGAAGGGGAAGATTTACAGATCTTCCTGTACACCTGTCCCACGTTCTGTGAACAGGAGGGCTAGATTTTCTACTTTTTTACTTGTCTCCACCAGGCAACCAATAAGTATTGTAGGCCATTAGATTTATATACATTTAACGCAGTAACATTCATATGTGCTTTCTGAGATGACGTGTTGAGGAGTGTCCCATTGAAACATAACCACAGATACTTATTCTTTTCCTTACATATATCATCAAAACAAGGAGCGTATGAGACATAAAGAATTAAAGAAAAAAATCTCAAAAAGCCATAAAAATCCATCTCCATTTTTCACCACATTGTCATGCTGCATAAAATCAACTCACTTGCAGCTCTAGAAACTTTCTAGTTGACCTGGACAGTGCTCTGTTTGTTGCCCATTTTTCTAGTAAATGACTATTTTTGAAATAAAAATATTTATATGTACCACCACAGAACGTAAATCCTCAGTTGAAAATTAGATGCACTGCGTCCATGTCATTTTGCTTTGAAGACAAAGAATTTCCTTTTATTGATAATAGTAACTGTATCAAGAAATCTCCAAGGAACAATCACAAATCTGTATTGCTTTCATTCATGATGAGGAAAGAGTGTGGTGACATAAGTCAGCAGTGAAGCTTTGTGAAGTCAGCATCTGTCTTTGTGAAGTCAGTTAATTTTGGACCTGGGAGAAAGCATGGCCCCAAAGAACTGTAAAAATCAACCGAAATTTTGTGTTAGATTTTTAGTGAGCATATGAATTATGAATACAGCAGTCAACACCTGTAATAAAATAGTGTTATATTTAAATTTCAATAAGCTATGCATCTTTAGTTCATGGTAAAACTGTATTCTTTCGTATATCTGTAACTAGTAAAAGTCAAAATCTGCTTAAAACAAGGGATTGCTGGTAGAGATTCAAAATAAGCTTTAAGAGACTAACAAATAAGGAAAAAAATGGGCCAATTTCTAGCCCAAAAGTGATATAATGAATGATTGTCTAGAGATAAGTTTATTTGTGGTTATGGTTTCTGAATCTTCTAATTCTTGGGGGAGCGTGTTATTGGGCAGAAGACCCCTTCAAGGTGCAGTCCTGAGGGAGGGACGCCATGGACACCTTGTGAGGATGAAGCTGGCAACTTTGTATGTAACCCAATTAAAACACCTTTTAAAGAATTTTCGTGTCTGAGGCCTTTTGAACTGGTCCTTCTCTGCTACTGCAGTCCCTGTGGACCAGTGCCTATCCTTACATGGACCTACGTCTTTTGAGAAAGATGCTTGTTAAGGCAGTTTCACATTCTTTTACTAATTATTATAGCAACAGCTGTCCTTTGGCAGAGTATTGCTCCCTTTTAGCCCCCTGATTTCTCATTTTAAAGGGTTTTCCCATTGGTTGGTGTTGGTGGGTAGTGGTATCTGCTTCCGATCACAATAGTCAAAAAGGCCTGGTGCCCCCCCCCCCATTCCTTAGATCAGTCTGGGGATGTATAATGCAGACTCAGACAATCAGACCCTCTCCCAGAAACTCTTGAGTAGGCGAATGAAGGACACAGCACCAGTTGGTGAGCACACAGGCATTGGCCATGGGTGGCCTCAGCTCTTCCCACTGAATGACTTTAGCTGTGATTCCTGTTCCTCCACTTCCCAGCAGTCCTTTGATTCCTGCTTGTTCTGCTTCCCTGGTCCCCCCACCTCCCCTGATTTCTGTGACTCCAAACATGCCTTCCCCAAATTGCATTTTTTTGCTTAAAATAGTCAAAGTTCGTTTCTGCTGTGTATCAATCAGGGTCCTGGCAGGAAACAGATGGCTCACTCGAAGAGGGACTTGGAAGCGACTTTAGTGCAGGGACTGTTTACAGAAGTGTGGGCAGAGTTAGGGAGTGATCAGGGACAGTGAAGCATCTCAGGGACTGGCCACAGCAGGGAGCCTTGCAGCACTTCTTAGGCTAGAAGGGCCAAGAGTAGAAGTGGCGGCCAGAACCCAGAGAGAAGATTCTCTCCATAGCTATGGGAAAGATCTGCCTGAGAAGCTGAAGCCTTGAGAAAGGACCCAGGCTACTGGTTCTCTATGGAGGCAGCCAGGGGACAAAAATACCTTGGTCTCACTCTCCTCCTATCTTCAGACTTTTGGCTGATACCTCTCAATGGATGAAACTAGCTGAAAACCAGGAAGCAAAGGAGCCCTTGGTGGAGCTCATGAAGGTCAGCCTTCCAAGACCCAGAGCGGAGTGAAGGGTGGATAATAGATCTAAAGAGGCATGTAAGGACTATCCATGTAGTGCTTGTGAAAAGACTTGGGCTGATGAAGGGAAGAGATACTTACACATTATCTTTTTAAAGCCCCTCATAATTGTTAGAGTCTTTGCATGGCAGAAAGGTGGCTTGCTGAGTAGGTAAATGGAGAGTGATACTCAAACCATGTGTTCGACAAGTGCTATCAATACTTGAAGGATGGAACACCTGTTTGCTTCCTTGATCAAAGATGCCAACGGCCTTTGACCCTGTGAAGCTATGAGGCTGAATTTCTCTGGGTGGTAGACAGGGCCCTCTGGCTGTTTTTACTCGCATGAGAACCATCGTATAGGGTAGCAGCGGCTGGCTGTGCTTTGCCAGTACACTAACATTTTCAACTATGAAATAATACAGTACCGTGGCCAAGAGGGCCAGCTCTGGAATGAGATGACCTGGATCCTAATCTGAGTCCTGCCATGTATCAAACGAGCCCCATTTATTCTCTTGGATAAAATTAGGTTAATAAGTACCGACTTCACAAGGCCAGTGTGAGAATTAAATGAAACCATGTAGCTAAGGTATATAGCCCATCTGGCTGTAGTCTGAACTCCAGGAATATTAACAACTCTTTTACGGGTAATTTTTAATTCCATTTTTGACTTTTACTCGTGCAGCCCCCAAGTCATCCTATTTGCTTATCTGTTTCTCAGTGCCCAGTCCCATCACCCCTACGCGTGGGTGGCCTCCCTGTCAGGCGTATCTGGTATCTACACCTCAGGCTCTCAATCACATCGCTTTCCAATCAGTGTTCTTCTTCCCTGTAGATTTTGCTTCTGTAGGCCTATTCATTAGCTATCTCTTATCAGTGGAGGAAGATCCCAAATTACCTGTTCCTCCCAGGGAGGCCCAGGAGCACCAAGGCTTCTGAAAATAACTGACAAGAAGAACCAATGATGGGAACTCTGCTTTGACTTTCAAGCCAGGTCAGAATCTTCCCCAAGCTGCAAATCCCTAAGACACCTCCTGCGTGTGTTGGGTTCCCCACTGTCGTAGGATTGGCACTTTAAATCTGTTATGTTTATTTGAAGGATAAACAATGGACTTTTAAAAAATAAATGCACAAAGCTCTGGGTCCCAACTGTCACTTCTCATGATCTTTCTTAGACCTTACAGTTTCTTTTCAAAATGCACAATTACAAACTTGGGCTATGGAAAGTCCTCATCTGTGCTTGTGCACTCCTTTCCCCGCTGCCATGACACATTTTGTCCTGCACAAGAGGACAGCAAGGCTGGACCTTACATCATTACAACAACCAAAAGGCCATGAGTCTCACTGTCAATGGCAAGTCCACAGCAAATTAAAGGTATCCTTAAAATATTCATTAAGTATATGGTGCTAGCTAACCTGAAGTAATTTTTAGATCTACTGATAAGAAGGCCAGTCCTTTTTATAATTGTCTTCAGACTTTTAGAAGCAAAAGAAATGGGCCCTGTGGGTCTAGTTTGATCAACTCATTTGCCATCAGCCTTTGATGTAATGTTAGGCAGTAGTCTAACATTACACTAACCAGTGATATGCGGTAACAAGTGACCATGGGTAGGGATAGAGAAGAATTACAAATTAATTTACTATAAGTAATATCACTTTTTAAAACAAGGTAGCATGTAATGCTCCTCTGTATCTATACCGGGCATGTAATTTGAACTCAAAGAATATTAGCAATTATCTCATGGTTGTATCAGAGAAATCAAGTATATAAGCAACTCAAGAAATACATGAAATTAAATAACTGTTAACAATGGAGGTTGTCCATAAAAATAATGCATCTGAATCAGCTAAATTACTTTTTGGTGTAAGTAACAGCAAACCCAACTGAAATTGGCATAAGCAGTAATCAAATCTATTATCTCACCCACAACAAGGAGTCCGGAGTTAGCATGAGCTCCAGGCGTGGTACGTCAGGGCTCTGGCCCGGCTTTGGAGCAGCTCTCTTGGCCCTGACTTTGGCTGGTGGGAAGGTGGCTGCAGACATTTCAGGCACTTACAGATACAACAAAGTCTAGACTAGAGGAAGACGAGGGACAGACTGTCTTTTTTCTGGATCTGTGTTATGAGCCAGAAAACTATTTCCAGAAAAGGTCCCAGGAGACTCTTCCTGGTTTGTTGGCCAAGACTAGGTTACATGTCTCAATTAACCCACTCAGTGGCAAGTGGGAGTGGGCATCATTTATACTAATCGGGGTAGAAGAGTTGGGAGCCAGCTACTGCCACCTACCAGTACAGAGCACGTTTATCTCCGAAGAGATTCTCCTTGGTGATGGATGGGTCTCAGGGAGTACGAAGGGAAATATGTATATGTGTATGCACACGTGTGCATGTGTGTGCATGTATGTGTAATAATAGGGTGTTTGGCTAATGACGAAGGCATGACCTCAGCTCCAACTACATTAAAAGTGTAATTTCAAACACGGATGAAGAGATCAAAAAGAAACACACCACAGCCAGGGACACACAGAAAGGTACAGCGTACCTTCAAAAAGGCACGATGGGCTTGCACATTTATACTCACACCCACACCCCCCTCTTAGGGAGCACAGGCTTCTCATTCAGAGGCACTGGAGAAACCTTACTCTCCGCTCCTTGCTTGTACGAGGTTGATAGACAAGGGTAGCCACAGGCAAATGAGGACAAGGAGGTTGGTTGCCCACACAGAACAGTGTGACAGCTGATTAACGAACCCCTTTCCTCTTCAAACTCTCCACTCCAAAAACAAAAACAAAGCCAAGCCCAATGCATAAAAACACGGAGGGACCCAACTAGCTCTTCACTGAGGTGTGCGAGATAGTGAGATAGGGAACGTAGTGTGAGAGGCCCCGTGCTGTCTCTCTGAGCCCCGCAGTACCCCACTCGGAGCCCCACAGCCAGCAGCTCTGCTCTTGGATAGAGCCACCAGCACCTTGGCATTCGTTATTACATCATGGGAACTAAGTGTGCCAGGATATGAACAAATTCCCTAGATGGGTGTGATCTTCAAAAAAGGGGAAAAGCAACTTTTTTAGCATTTTGCCTGATTTCCATAGCACAAACATAGCTATGTAAAACACATGGGAAAATAATGTGGCCAAGAGACTCAAACATGGGCCCTACTTGAGCCAATATGTGGGGAACAGCCACACACTTAAGATTCTCAGGCCACCCTGGCACTCTGGGAGCTCCTCCTACCCTGCCTGGCTGATGAGGGGTGTCCTGGTACTCCCTTTTTCACTCTGCTGCCTGCTTGTTGATAAGAGGTTGGCTGTTGTCCATGTTACAATGGAAATTAAGACATCGCTGCAGAATGAAGTATGACCTTTGGTTCATTTTAGATCCTCATCAAGGGAGTGTGTAGGTCTGTGAACACTTTGTATTGGGATGTTTTGTTCAGAAATGTTTATACTTGATTGATGCCAAAATGTTTACCCGTCATTCTGGAACCTTTCAAACTCTTGATCCTGCCTTTACTATTTGGTAGCAAAGGTGTATATGTCTCCCAAAGACATAAAGAGCTTGTGTAAAAAAGGAAATTCCCTTGGGTGAGCTGTGCTCACTTTATCTTCACAGCACCTCTGTGTGATTCAGTATCGTTAGCATCCATGTGTAATTCAGTATCGTTAGCATCTCAATGAAGAGTTCTGGGTGTGATACCAGGCACCCCGCCAGTTGGCTGGATGGCCTGGGTGCTCCTATATAAAAAGGGAATAACAACAACAGTTTTTACAGGCATGAGAGAGTTTTGAGAATTAAATGAGTTAAGGAAATTTAAGGGCTCTTAGCACCTTGCAAATAATAAACAGTTAATGTCTTCTCTTATTTTATTGTTTTCCTTATTTTACAGGTTGGAAAGTCATTTCTCAGAGGAAGTAACTTGTCATATCTGAGAGAGG